TAATCAGTTTTTTTTGTTTTATTTTACTTTGTATTATTTCACAACCTTTCAAAATGATTCAAATTATTTCAAAAATTTTTGAAATATTCTGATATATCTTTTATAATATTTCAAAATAAATTCTGTATTATTTTGTAATTGAAAATTCCAAAATATTTTGCATCAATTATAATTATTTCAGGCCATAATAACTTTTATAAGTTTTTATTTATATATTTTATTGATATACTTTAGTAGTAGAAGACTTAGCCCAGCTACCTCTTGTAAAACTAAAACATGTATTTCACTTCTTGGCATAGTTATTTTTCTTTCTACTATATTTAACTATTTCACAACATTAATGAAATGATATTAAATTCTATAATATCCTACAGGAAGTAAGAGTTGGCCAACTATCAGACAAATTTAAAAGAATTATTCAATCAAAAATTAATATAGTTGGTAACTCTGACAAATTCTATAATACTATACACATTGTTAGCACATGTCAAGCTGCTTACAATATAAATGAATTCCTATGCATCTATCTTTCTTTTAACTAGTAAGCCATTGCTCTCAATTTCTGAAAATACTTTAGACTTCGAAATCTTAGATAATATATACTTTGTTTTACAATTCAAACATTCAACAAACTTACTCCATTCCATATATTTACAAGGAGCTCAAGTCATGTTTTTATCAACTTTTTGACAATAATATCTACAACAGTTTAATTGGAATAATAACCAAAATTATTGATCATGAAAATATAGAAGTCACATTTTCTATTTTTACTAATATAAGTAGAATCATTATTAAAAAAAAAACAATATACTTTTATATTGATAGGAAAAGAGCTTCTAGAAAACAATTCCCACTCCAAAAAGCCTTTGCTCTCACTACCCATAAAGTGCAAGGCTTAACTTTACCTTACATAACTACTAGCATTGATGAAACCATATTTGCAAAAGATCAAGCTTATATAGCAATGAGCCATGCCACCTCATGGGAAAATCTCTGTCTTCTTCACTTCGATCATAACTATTTAAAATGTTCTCAGGCTGCTTTAAACAAATATAAAAGGTTGAAAACAATACATGCCAGAGCAGGGACCCGTAAAAATTTTGAAATCAAATTTTCATTATATAAAATCGAAATTTTTGCTATAAAATTTGTATCATGTGATATAAAATAATTGGCTTATAATTTTCACCATTTTAATTTCAGCCGGGATTATTGTTGTTTTTTTTTAATGCTGGTCAAATCGAAATAAATCGAAATTTTTACAAAAATCGATCGAAATTTTTGCTTTAAATCGAAATAATTTTTACGGGTCCCTGCCAGAGGCCTCCAAAACTCAACTTAAATCTTAAAATTTAATAGAAATTTAATATGAATCCTTTTCATAATAAATCCCTTAATCACCATCAACTTATATTCCACATCCTGAGTAAATTTAACATTATATTATAGGCAAATATATACAAACGATCTCGCGAAATACCTGCCTTAACATACTCTAAATCTTCCAAATCATATCCCCACTTAATCCGCCGTAGCTTCAAAAAATTATACTTTAAAAATTAAAATTGTATGCGTACAAATTACGAGTTATACGTATACTATAGTATTTAATTGGGCTTATAAAAACTTTTGCTGATCATACTACTGATAATAAGTTTGTGATTTCGGCATGATCAAAATCCAGGTGATCTCTTCCAAGTTGTAGTGACAAATTCATTTTCGTGACGAATAAGCATTAAAAATATAATCAATGAGTTAATGCTTATTCATCACGCCTCTATACCAAATGAAAAAGCCATCTACTGTACAATAGAAATTATGATAATAGCTCTACCGTTACACCTTTGTAATTTGCAATTTATATTAAGCACCTGTACAACGCATATCTTGTTAATGCTTGCAATCGGATCTATATGAAAAATTTTTCGGGGCTCTATTTGAAAATTTAACCTGCTTATGCTTTTTTATTCCCTAAATCCTAAAAAAAAATGCTCAACCAATAAATCAAACACATACATCGTTTTCGAGAATTAAACCCATACCGTTTACGAACTAAAGCTAAATCACCAGAAATCGTAACACCAAGAATTAAACAGGCTGTACATTGATTGGTATTCTTAATATGAATGACGAAAATCAATCCTTGCAACAAGAAGAATTCCTTGCACTGACATCAATTTTTGGAACTGATTCATTTAAAGCTAACAATATCGATGAATTAACAGAAGAATTCCAATCCTATACTTTTAAATTATCTTTAGAAAATGAATCTGCATATAGTTCCCAGTCAAACCGTTCAGAGAATTCACTTACATTGCAATTCTATCTTCCACAAGATTACCCTTCTTCTTCACAACCGACATATGAAATAACAAGTTTATACTGTGGAACTTTAAAGATTGATGATAAATTAAGAAATGAGATTGACGAAAAATTTGAAGAATTATTTGTTCCGGGACAAGTTGTACTTTTTGAATGGATCGAATTTTTAAGAGAATTTATGCAGCAAAAACTTGAACAACAACTTGACAAAAAAGTGCAAGAGGAGATTAAAGAAAAATTAATGCTCGAAGATGAAATAATAACAGAAGAGTATGAAGAACAAAAACTTCGAGATGAATCAAACCAAATTGCGGATTTCCCCATTATAAAATCAGGGGAGCCATTAGAGCACAAGAAATCTGTATTTATGGCTCATTTAGCGTCAGTGCAAAATGTGCAAGAGGTCCAAATTGTTAGAAATACATTATTATCAAACAAAAAAGTTGCTAAAGCGACACATAATATAATGGCATATAGAATTGTGCAAGATAATGGGGTGATATTACAAGGTATTTGTTAATCTATTGATTGATATTAGTTTGATATTAAAGAATTTTTATAATTAGATAATGATGATGATGGAGAAACAGCAGCTGGTAGTAGATTGCTTCATTTATTACAAATTCTTGATGCTAAAAATGTAATAGTGATTGTTTCAAGGTGGTATGGTGGCATAAAATTAGGACCAGGTTGGCTTTCTTTCTTTTTTTTACTTACATAATGTAGGTATTCTTTTTTTATATCTTATCTAATTAGCTAATTAATATGAATAGATCGATTTAAAGACATAAATAATTGCGCGAGAGATTTACTTGATAAATATGGATATATACAGAATAACAATAGCATTGATCAATCTGCACGTATATTGTCAAATGACAAAAATGGAAGGACAAAAAAGAAAAAATGAGATAAATAAAATTTTTAGACATTATTGTCCAGAGAGAAGCGCACTTCTATGCAAGGAATAAAATGTTTGTCCGTTCATTCTAATGATAGATTTTTATGATTGATCACAAAACAACTGATAATATAATACAAATTTTGGATTTTTCGCTTACGCATATTCAAGATTCTGTAACATAATTGTATTAAATTGTATTAATAAAACGAATAAACATTTTCGTTTTATTCTGTTATAATTAAAAATACAAAGACATAAGGGTTATCTTTGGAATAACACATGATGTTTTCTATATACATTATTAAAGTATAAATACAGTATAATATCCTAGGTATTCTCGCCTACTAGTACATACATAGATTATACAGGGTTATGTTTATAGACTATTATAACCCATCTTTCAATGATGGGTCACCCGCGGGTGGGTCGGGTATCGGGTTGCATTTATGTCAACCCGGGTAAGAAGTAACGGGTCTACCTGTAAGACCCTAGCGATTAATTTTTTTTGCGTCGTTTTTTGGTGCTTATTTCCCGTTCTTTTTTCGGTCGCTTTTCGGTGGTTTTTTGGTGCTTATTTGTTACTTCTTTGTGGCTCTTTCGTCGTTCTTTTGGAGTTTTTCCGTCGTTCTTCGTCGTTCTTTTAGTGGTTTCTTGGTCGTTCTTTCGATGGCTCGTTCTTTTTAATACTTTTTCGCGTTCTTTTTTTTTTTAGGTCAACGTTTTCTTTCGTCGGATTTTTTGTCATTTTTTCGGTGCTTTTCTGGTATTCTTTCGTTACTTCTTTGTGGCTCTTTCGTCATTCTTTTAGTGGTCTCTTCGTCGTTTTGGTGATGCTTTCTTCGCATTCTTTTGGTTCTTTTAGGTCAACGTTGTTAACGTTGAGATCAACGTTGCTTAACTTTTTAGGTAGCGCACTCACAAAAATTGTTTCCCCTGTAATTTTTACTGAGAATTCAACGGTGTAGTTTGGGGCTGGGTTAGGGTTAGAGTTAGGAAGAGCATTTTTAATTAGTCGCAGAGGATGGTTTCTTAATTTAAACTTTGTTATTTCTGCTATTATTAATTTTAATAATTTTTTATTAAAAAAATTAGGTTTAACTCCACTAATTATTCAAACTTTTCTCATTAATTACTTACCATTAGACCGAACATATTCGGAGATATCACATGTTGGTCTCATGATGATTCGATGATTCGATACTTACGTATCGAGCAGCTTTTTGTTTTGTCTCATTTTTGATTTACTACGGAAATATGTTCCCTCCTGCTAATCGAGCATCAACATATCAATTTTTTTAAATAGTATCCATAGATTATAATTGAGTTTTAAATAAAATTCTTTCATATAATGATATTCATGAGATGATAATTTTGTTACAGTATATGCAGAAAGAGAAAAATATTTGATATGAAAAATTAGGTAATGTAACTAGGCGCTTGAGTTGTTTAAAAAGAGTTAGAAATGTATTATATTATACTGGCATGTTATGAATCAGTTCTAGTATAGTTCTTGTGCAATTCATTAAATATTTTATTAATTTCATATTATAATTATAGAAGAAAGATAGAATTTTATAAGTTATTTTATCATTTATCTACCCGGGTGACCCGCAGGTCGCAGGTTTACCCTCCGGGTTACCCGGGTCATGATTTTTCAGACGGGTCCAACCAGTGTCCAACCACTAGGCTTCGGATATGATATCTCTATATACAAAAAAGGTTGATCATTTTACTGATGTTTTTGTCCTGTTTTTCAGTGAATGGTTTCCATTCACTGAGAAAACAGGACAAAAACATCAGTAAAATGATCAATCTCTTTTGTATATCCAGATATCATATCTGAAACCTTTAATCCGCCAACTCTTTGCAAGCCAGGACTTAACGGGAAGAATTCTAAGCTAAAATCAATAGTTCCATCAGGTAATAATTCACCCAATGATTCGCTGCTTGGTCCACTCAACAAAACTGATCCCATTTTATTCTTTATCGCTGATATTAATATTTTAAATGTTGATGTTGTTCGATTTCTAATTCGACATCCTAATTTAAATGGTATTTCAAGTTGTATCAACGGTGGAATTGTTGTTACTGATAATTCTATTTCATCGAGCACCGGAGATTTACGTGATAATTGTGATGTTTGTAAACGGCCGGTTTCTCCTAAATTTGATCTCCACACAATATCAAGTTTTCCTAGCGCATTTGATGTGCGTGCTATCCGATCTTCTATGCCAGATTTTGGTGTTAGCATGTACAAATATTGACGAATGTCATGAGGATTAAGATAAGTATTATTTCCAAATATACTTTCACGTTCCAGCGGTATAACTGTAGGTTCACACACATCATTTTCTGTAAGTTCACACACATCATTTTCTTTAATTTCATCAGCCTTTTTCACTTTAATCTCTGCCATCTCATTCGCTCTACCATCTCTATCGTCTTTAACAACGTAATTCAGATCTTGATAATCAAATACTTCGCCAGGTTCAAATTTCATTCTTTCTAAATACATAAACCTTTCTGCAACATTTTGTATTTGCACTTCTAAAAAAACGGTTCCGTTACCCATATTATTAACTTTAGTTTTCACAGCAAAAGGATTTAATACATGAAATCTATAATATTTTTTAAAAGATCTTTTTTCACCCTCATTTGTGATATATTGATACAAACAAACTATGTTATGGACACCTAACTCTTTGATTTCGTGTTTTATAACGAATTCATTGACTTTACCAGGTTCCATTAGTGAAATTTGCCCATTCACAGTGTTATCGGCTAGTAATAAACGTTGTGAAGAAGTTATTAATTCTACTTTTAAACCTACATCTCGAACATAGTGGCTTGATTCATTGGTTATAGTGAAATAGCTATCAAATGTTGCACCTAAGTAGATATTATCAGTTGTATTGTTTGCGCTTGAATTTACTGAGAATGACGCTTCACTTTCGGTAATTTCTTTCATATAAATTTTTGTTGGTTGTGTAATGTTAAAGGGTTTTAGATCAGCTTTGATGCCGATGTTAGGCTCTGTTGAGGTATCTTTTTTATCTTTGGATATTGGACCTGATTGACGCGTCACTTTTAGTGTAAGGTAAGGTTGTGAGTCGTATAGCGCGTCCATGTTAAATACACTATTAGCTAATGTCTTTTTTTTCAATATCAGTATGGTAGAGTCTGATAAAAATTCGGAAATTCCAGTGCTAATTTGTACAGTACGGGAACAACCAATCAGTGAGTTCAAATTCAATCCCAACTTACTTCCGATAGATTGTTGGTTTCTATTGGCTCTATTTATCCCAATGGATACGTGAAACTCTGGTTTACTGGTTTAAGGTACCCTACTGTGTACCCTAAAATTGTATCCGAATATTTTACTATTCTAGAGGTGTAAAGTTAGGTATAAAAGTACTGTACTTTTTCTTTATGCGTGGAGTCAAAAATATTATATAGATATACAGTATATACAATACTAATAAGACAAGACCAAATCTCTAAAGCAAGCCTGTTTAATGAAAAAGACTATATACAGTATATGTATATATTTTATATACAGTATAATAAAGTTTTCAAATTTTATTGGTATTAGATACAGTATTGGGCTAGTGACTATTCGGAACTCTAATCAAAAATTGATCAGATCACACTTTAAATGCTACAGTATGATTTTGTAAAATATTTAAAGATAGCTATATAGTAAACCTAAACTTCTGAAAAAGCTAAGATTATCAGAAAATAACTAATATATAACGTAATATCAAGGGCTTTGTGAATCAAAGCACTCTTAATTTAGGCTTTAGATGATCTCTTTATTAAGAAAGATCGATCACCATTTAAAGTTTCGTGTTATACAAGGTTGCTTTCCGTACTACCCGTAGCTACACCGGCCCCCGTCACAATCCCGGTATCAATATCCTTATTTGTAACATCGTTATTGTCAACTGCGCCATCTTGGAATTGTCTTTCGAGTTGTTCGTATCCACCAAACTTGTAGATAATTTTCGCCACTATCCATGTAAGAACAAACAGTATAATAATTAAATAACCAATTGTACCAAAATTATCTCCAAGGTATGCAAAAAAATCCCAAAAAGGTCCTTTAAGGTCTAATTTATCTCCGATAATGTTGAGGAGTTCTATTAATCCAACTATAAATGCTATTAAAACTGAAAATAATGTGATAATAAAATTATAATAAAGTTTTCTAACTGGGGTTATAAATGCCCAAGTATAAGTTCCTAACATTAGAATTCCGTCAGCTGTATCGATTAATGCCATTCCTGATGTAAAAAGTAATGGAAAAAACATTATCATCCAAATTGGAAGTCCTTCGTTAGCTTGAAATGCTGCAATTCCCAATAATCCTACTTCAGTAGATGTGTCAAAGCCAAATCCAAAGAGAACTCCAAGAGGATACATTTTCCAACTTGAATCAATGAATTTGAATAATGGTGAAAATATTCTACCAACGCATCCATATGTATTTAAAACTGTATCAATGTTTTCTTCTTCAAAAACACCGGTACGTTTTAATTTTTGGAGCGAACGATAGATTGAAATTAACACAAATGTATTTATTATTCCAATGACAAATAAAAATGTGGCAGAAACAAATGTTCCTATTAATCCCCCTATTAACTGAAAGTCTCCAAATTTTTCTTTTACTGCCGTGGCTGTTATAGCAATAGCAATGGATGCACATATCACGATTGTAGAATGCCCAAGAGAAAAAAAGAGTCCAACTGAAACTGAATATTTGCCATATTGTATAAGTTTACGTGTTACATTATCAATTGCTGCTAAATGGTCCGCATCTACTGCATGTCGAAGCCCTAAGGTATACGCTAAAGCCGCTGTACCTATAAGCGATGGGTAATTTCGAAATGCAAATGCTGTAGCAATCCATGCTGCGATATTTATAAGAACTAAAGCTGAAAGTATAATAATTATTTTGCGTTTTACAACTGTACTATTAGGTTTTTGCAAAAGAGATGCTCTTGGTGATAATTCAATTTGTGAAGTATAAGGCATTGTGGATATTGTGGATACGTCTTTAACCTAAATTCCTTTAAAATTAAATATAAAAATTTGATGATCTTGATTCAATTTAAAGCAATTTTGTTATTGACATGCAATGTGTTACAAGAAAACAAAATCAATAATACTGTATGTGTATATTATGCTTGCTCAACTCTTAACTTTAACTTTAATATATTCTAAGCTAATTCAAGATAAACAATTTGCGACTTTATACGTATACTTTTGTGCATAATTCGTGTATACGTACTTTATATCTTAAATTTTTAATTTATAAGGCCTGAAATTTTTATTCAATTTTTTAAAAAGACTATATAAATTGGTTTTGATATATATACATATATATATATACTTGTATATATTTTTAGCAATAGTAAATTAGCTATATATATATAACGTATAATTGGTTGATTTGGATACGCTTTACTTCACCGACAATCATTTTACCGACAACTCACTTAGCCGACATCACGCCAAGTGACAATTTACTAAAAATATGTGCCTGTAACTAATAAAACGCTAACCCTAGCCCTACGTGATGTCGGCTAAATGAACTTACGGTGAAATGATTGTCGATGAAGTGAGCAGCACAGATTGAGAATTGATTTTTGTTACTTTTTTTATTTAAGTTTGCTACTCGAATTATTTATATTTTGATTTAATTTTTTAGCTATATAGTATTATTAAAAGTTTTACTATTTTTTTTATTTATTTATTTTTTTTTAAACTAGATAATTCGATATTCAAACTAATAAAAACTTACCAAGTACAAAGTGTTTAATACAATTTACTATAACAACTATTTGTTTTAACTTGCTAAGAATTTTGTATACTAAAGTATATACTAGTGGGATACCACCTATAATATAATTATATTATAGGTGGTATCCCACTTAGGTTAGATTATATAATCTAGATACCAC